GGTGGTTGTGGTGGTGGTGGTTGTTGTTGTGATGGTGGTTGTTGTGGTGGTGGTGGTGGTTGTGATGGTGGTTGTGATGGTGGTGGTGGTTGTGGTGGTGGTTGTGGTGGTGGTTGTGGTGGTGGTGGTTGTGGTGGTGGCGGTGGTTGTGGTGGTTGTGGTGGTGGTTGTAGTTGTGGTGGTTGTGGTGGTGGTGGTAGTTGTGGTGGTTGTGGTGGTAGTTGTGGTGGTGTGGTAGTGGTGGTAGTTGTGGTGGTGGTTGTTGTGGTGGTGGTGGTTGTGGTGGTGGTTGTGGTGGTGGCGGGGGTTGTTGTGGTGGTTGTGGTGGTAGTGGTTGTGGTGGTGGTGGTTGTTGTTGTGGTGGTTGTTGTGGTGGTGGTTGTGGTGGTGGTGGTAGTTGTGGTGGTGTGGTAGTGGTGGTAGTTGTGGTGGTGGTTGTGGTGGTGGTAGTTGTGGTGGTGGTGGTAGTTGTGGTAGTTGTGGTAGTTGTGGTGGTGGTAGTTGTGGTGGTGGTGGTGGTTGTGGTGGTTGGTGGTGGTGGTTGTGGTGGTGGTGGTGGTTGGTGGTGGTTGGTGGTGGTTGTGGTGGTGGTAGTAGTGGTGGTGGTGGTAGTTGTGGTGGTGGTGGTTGTGGTGGTTGTGGTGGTTGTGGTGGTGGTGGTTGTGGTGGTGGTTGTGGTGGTGGTGGTTGTGGTGGTGGTGGTTGTGGTGGTTGTGGTGGTGGTTGTGGCGGTGGTGGTTGTGGCTGTGGTGGTTGGTGGTGGTTGTGGCTGTGGTGGTTGGTGGTGGTTGTGGTGGTGGTTGGTGGTTGTGGTGGTGGTGGTGGTTGTGTTGGTTGTGGTGGTGGTTGTGGTGGTGGTGGTTGTGGTGGTGGTGGTGGTTGTGTTGGTTGTGGTGGTGGTTGTTGTGGTTGTTGTTGTTGTGGTGGTTGTTGTTGCTTACCGAGGTAGAGCCTCGCTCTCTCTCTCGTAGGGATGTCAATTGAGTAGCAGCGAGCATGGAAGCGATGTCCACGTTGGAACTTTACAACGCGGGGCCTTGCCTCCTGCCCTCGCCTGATGGCGTTCGCTTCAATTCTCTCGCTTAAATTTCGATTTAAAGCTTTCGTGACTGCAGGGATTCATCTTCTTGGTTTTTTCGGTAAAGTCACGTCTGAATGAAACACCCCAGGGTCTTCCCGACAGACCTGGTCTTCACCTGAGGACGGCTGCTTGCGTTGTGGTCGAAACGTCGTGAGAATTGTATTTTATTATGTTTTATTTTTATTATTTCCCTTCTACGTGACTTTACCGAAATAACCAAGAAGATTATCTCGCTTAGTTTTGCAATCTGTGGAAGAAGGTAATCAGCCAGACGATGCGTTAGTTGTGTGTTGACCGACTCTCTGTGTTGTATTGCATTTCAAATTTGATTAAGTTTGTTTGATTAAGTGTCTCTCTCTCTCTGTGCAGTCACCAAACCTCCAAATCTCTCATTGACACAAGGCCGTAATTATAATATGTTATAATAATGTCATAATAATTATATGTTATAATAATTATAATAATCAATTATGCCCCTCCAATATGTTGCTGTAAAAATATTTGTAAATAATAATTGCGATGCTCTGTTAATAAAAACAACAATTTGCTAAACCTTGGCCACGAAATCTGGACTTGTTTTCATATAACAATACATAGATTTCTGTTTACATGATTGCGTTGTACTTTGTTAATTCCTAATCTCTGCCATTACATACTATAAAACAAGAAAATGTAAAAAAGAAAAAACAGCAATGTAATACAATACACTATTAGACATTATTGTATCAAATAAAACAAAGTCCATCCCATGTGCTAGTGAACTTTTACAAATATTTTAGGGAGGAAATGGCAGGAAATTAGTTTTCAAATTTAGATATTTTTCTGGGGGGGGGGACCCCAGACCCCCTGGAAGAATTGGTCCCCCCCAATGTTGACTCCATGGCTACGGCCTTGCATTGACGTGCTAGTTTCTCTACCCCCCCCCTCTCTCTACCCCCCTCTCTCTCTAAGGCCTCGACACAGAGGCGTTGTTTCTCTGTGTGCCTATGTGTGTGTCTCTCTCTGTGTCATATCTCTTTGTGTGTCTATGTGTGTGTCTCTCTCTGTGTGTCTTTGTGTCATCTCTCTCTGCTTATGTGTCTGTCTATGTGTCTCTGTGTCTCTCTCTCAAATTGAGCAATCTTTGGAAGAACGTTTTTAACCAGGTGGGGTGTTGACTGTTATGTTAGCCGACTGTTGTATTTCATTACATTTCTAAGTTTACTAGGTTTTTTTTCTCTTTCATTTGTGCCTGATGATGATTGCTTGTGTTGCAATTGAAACGTCGTATGCTATTATTTAATTTCTTTATTTATTCTACGTGACTTTACCGAAAGAACCAAAGAGTATCTTGCTTAAGTTTTAATTTCTCTTCACCTGGCTCGCTACTTTGTAACTTTGTTTTATTTTAAATATTCACAGTTTTTTTTCATTTTTTACCAGGCCACGCCCACTTGAGCTGCAATACCGCTCTTGTTTTCGGAAGCGACCTGCCCACAACAACAATAACAACAAGGTGAGGCTTGTCAACAGCGTGGTGGTGTTCACTCTAGATGCGTGGCGGTGTTCGCTCTAGACACGTGGTGGTGTTCACTCTAGACGCGTGGCGGTGGTCACTCTGGACGTGTGGCTGTGTTCACTCTAGACACGTGGTGGTGTTCACTCTAGACGCGTGGCGGTGGTCACTCTAGACGCGTGGCGGTGTTCACTCTAGACACGTGGCGGTGTTCACTCTAGACGCGTGGTGGTGTTCACTCTAGACGCGTGGCGGTGTTCGCTCGAGACGCGTGGCGGTGTTCACTCTAGACACGTGGTGGTGTTCACTCTAGACACGTGGTGGTGTTCACTCTAGACGCGTGGCGGTGTTCACTCTAGACACGTGGCGGTGTTCACTCTGGACGCGTGGTGGTGTTCACTCTAGACACGTGGTGGTGTTCACTCTAGACACGTGGTGGTGTTCACTCTAGACACGTGGTGGTGTTCACTCTAGACACGTGGCGGTGTTCACTCTAGACGCGTGGCGGTGTTCACTCTAGACACGTGGCGGTGTTCACTATAGACACGTGGCGGTGTTCACTCTAGACGCGTGGCGGTGTTCACTCTAGACACGTGGCGGTGTTCACTTTAGACACGTGGTGGTGTTCACTCTAGACGCTTGGCGGTGTTCACTCTAGACGCGTGGCGGTGTTCACTCTAGACACGTGGCGGTGTTCACTCTAGACACGTGGTGGTGTTCACTCTGGACGTGTGGCGGTGTTCACTCTAGACGCGTGACGGTGTTCACTCTAGACGTGTGGCGGTGTTCACTTTAGACACGTGGTGGTGTTCACTCTAGACGCGTGACGGTGTTCACTCTAGACGCGTGGCGGTGTTCACTCTAGACATGTGGAGGGGAAACCCGGGGATCGGGAAGGAAATCAACGCGACCACGGGGAGAGAGAGAGAGAGAGACACGCAGCCTCGGCTGTGTTGGTTGATCCTCAATGAATTACTTGGTGGAGTGAGGAAGCATTAATACTGAGCAGGTAAAGGTGGCCAGGCGTGGGTCTGGACACACCACCACCTGTGAACCGTGCCAGTGTGTGACAGTGCTTCAGCCAGTGGGGGTGGGGTGGCATGTGCCCCCCCAACGATCATTGGGGTTTATTAGTAACTAGCTTCACTACCCGGGTCTTGGATTCTTGTCTTGGATTAAAACACGGCCTACGTGAAGTGTTTGGGGGGGGGGTGATGTCAGCAAGTATGGATTGTGTACAGTCTGGAAGCTATCCACATGCCATTTTTTAAGTTTGTTGCATGTCGGGAAGTATGCTAAACATTTATAACAGACACATTCACAAATTTCCATTTTTTTACGACCCCCACCGCCACCGTGTGGCATGTTATTACGTGCCAGGGACTCTAAGAGGACAACAGTCCATGTCCATAATTGGCAACAAGTAACGGCAAAGCAGTTACAAGCGACTAGCAAAATTGTGCGCAGTTGCGTATACAGTACACGACTTCCCTGAAGACACCTTCAGTGAGCGCGATGCCAATCACACGCGTCGAATAAAAAGCAAGGGACAAGTCCTTAGTTACTAACAACTCCTTACTAACAACTATCATTTTTCATTGCTGGAGGTGTTACCCCCCCCCCCCCACCTGAAAATCCTGACTCCGCCTCTGAATATGCGACAGTATGAAGTTTGTATTTGCAGTAAAGTCTATTAACTCTATTGAGCACGGACGTTATATCAAAACACTAGTTTATTTTTTTTTCCTCTGGAAGTCTTTGTAAGGTTAGAGTCTGGATTTTATCACAGCACACACGTGCAGCTAAAGTCGGAACTGCTCATCCCAGCAATCAAGGACATCTGTGCCTGGCTTCACACCTCTAAGTTGTGATTGAACATTAATTTATGCATTTGTGCATGACACAAATAGTATTATTTTAAACACCCATTGCTATGTCAGCTGAATTTAGCTTTCATAAACATTTATTTTGAAGCCAGACAGCTGAAATTGTGTGCTCTGAGTTTTGGGTTAATGTTCATTTTGAAGATACGAGGGCTTCCAGGCACGGTTATAACCATTTTCCCTCTCATTGTGTGCCATAACAGCCCGTGTGATGAATTTGGGACACTTTTTCACTATATCATGAATATATGAATAAGTATAGACGTGTAAGTCACGTGTGACTGTGTATATGCATTCCTCTGTGCATCGATACTGACGTGTAGATGGTGTGGATATTCTCTTTTTTCTGTCTGCAGCTGTCGCTGCCTCTGCAGAATTGGTCTGATGGAGCAAAGGCACTCTGCGCAGCTCGGTGCAATAAGGCATCAATGCGACCGGTGTGCATACAGCACGGATGGTCCTGCACATTTGACACGGCACCAGAGAACTCACACAAGAGAGAAACCCTTCAAGTGCAGTGTGTGTGGGAAGGCGTTTTCAGATTTATCTACTCTTGTAAAAACAAGAGAACACACACGGGAGAGAAACCCTTCAAGTGCAGTGTGTGTGGGAAGGCATTTTCACAGTCATCTACTCTTATAGCACACCAGAGAACACACACGGGAGAGAAACCCTTCAAGTGCAGTGTGTGTGGGAAGGCGTTTGCATGTTCATCTACTCTTGGAGCACACCAGAGAACACACACGGGAGAGAAACCCTTCAAGTGCAGTGTGTGTGGGAAGGCGTTTGCACGTTCAGCTCATCTTGTAAAACACCAGAGAACACACACGGGAGAAAAACCCTTCAAGTGCAGTTTGTGTGGGAAGGCGTTTGCACTTTCACCAAATCTTCAAAGACACCAGAGATCACGCAAGCATCAGAAGATCCACAAGGAGTGGAGTCTGAAATCAGCTTGTGAAAGTCAAAGTGCCTCAATGAGCCCATCCATCATCAAACAAGAACCGGAAGAAAATCTCAGCTTGGACACTTTCAAAGAAATCAAGGTGAAATATGAAGAGGTGAAGGTGAAATGTGAAGATGAAGATTCAATTCCAAAATGGGACCTTCACATCGATGGAGACAACGTGAAGCAGGAGGAGAATTCTGACTGAGGCAGAGCGAGGCAACTCCCAGCAGTTTGTGGAAGTGGAGGTGTGGGTGGACTTCCTCCGAGACAATACAAAGTCAAATGGAGACCCGGGAGATGCGTAAGCCTTAGACCAGTGGTTCTTAACCTGGGTTCGGTCGAACCCCAGGGGTTCGGTGAGTCAGTCTCAGGGGTTCAGCGGACGTTAAGACACACACCTGACTCATGATTGTGCACCAGTAAAACATGTACCTATGTTTTGAATTTGAAAAAATAATTTTCATTTTTCCAATTAAAAAGGGTTCTGTGAATGCGCATATGAAACTGGTGGGGTTCAGTACCTCCAACAAGGTTAAGAACCACTGCCTTAGACGATGCCACTCCAATAGATGCACCTTTGTCACAGGCCTTTAATGACAAGAATGTGAAGTTGAACACTCAGTTCCTAGGTTCAACCTGCAGGGTAAGAGCGGCCAGTCTTTGTGGACCTGTGTGTTGGGTAGATCTCTAACCAGGAGCGAGAGCCAATAAGCTCCCAAGCATTCACTATGTTATCATAATTGCATTTATATGGTGCTTGCTTAATCGCCTCGGCAATTCGTAGTTTTGTATCGTTTCTCGTCTCAAACACTCCAAGAGCATCCCCAGTAGCAGCTGCCCCTGTGTGGCACAAGGTGGTGGCCCTGCACCGGCCTGCATGTGGACAAGAGCCTGTCAGTAGGGGGCGATGGTTGATGTGGCACCTCAGTTGTGGAGTTTGTAGGTAATGTTTAGAATTTGCTCAATTTTGATCCAGATGCCAGCATGCAATGGCCTACTCGTTTTGAATGGTGCATTAGTATGTTGTACATACACTATTAAGCAGACGGTGCGTATTTTTTTAAAATTAGCTTCTTGTTAATGCAATGTAACCGAATGCAGTATATTTCAGTGCAGTCATTCAATTTTGTTAATATGCCTGTCACTAATTTAGAATGAATACTTGTCTGATGGTGTGCGTACATGTAACCTTCTGTCTATAAGGGTCAAATATTGAATAAGTCATGTTAGGACACAGTGTGTGTTTTGCAAGTAACCTGTACAGATAACTCAAGTGAGACTCCTTGTTCTTGTGATACAGGTCAAAGGGTATTTTTGTGTTTTCAGGAAGCATCTCCCTCTGGATCAACTTATTGTCTTTGAAATAGGGAGCACATTTGGATCGTTCATCTGTTACAAGGCATACCACTCAAAAGTTACACGTAGAGGAGATACATTCTCTACAACACGAATTATAATTTTGCATTACGTGTTGACGTAGATTTTGTCTAACTCGGACTAGAAATGCTCCTTGCTGATTAACGTCTGGATGTCAGTAACTATCGGTTGAAGCAACCCCGGCTGCTGTTGAGACGCTGTCCACCAATAAGGGTCCACAGGTGGCTTGCACTGAATCAATGACGCACTCCCAGAAGTCTGTGCTAGTTATAGTTTGTGTAAAACATTCCTTTGTTTCGTGGAGAGATCGATAAATGAAAGATGTCATGTCTGTTGATCTGCTTCATAGCAAGGAGGTAATTTTAAGAGCATATTTGAAATGCATTTTTGGTACAGATTTGTATTCGGTTACAAGGCAGAGCACATCTGGTAGATACATTCTCCACAACAACACTCATTAGAATTTTGCATGACGTCTTATATGTTGGCGAACTAGGACAAGAAATGGTCCTTGCCGATTAACGTCTGGATGTTGACAACCATGGGTTGAAGCAAGCCTGACCGTCTGCGATGCCCCTCACAACCATTTACGGCCTTGGGCCAGGAAAGTCACGAAACACATTGTGCACGAACGACGCATCCACGCAAGCACCCGATGCTCCGTTTTGAAGTTTGAAAATGAAACAACTTTGAATTGTATTATGTTTTGAATTAGATAATTGTATTTCTTCATTAAAAGCTTGTTATTTTACATCTGGAAGACTTAATTGAAAACATTTAGTGTGAATTATCTCATCTTGAAGTAGATTGCCTTGCCTGGGATTCTGTTCGATGCGGACTTTCACCTGGTTGGGAGAAGACCGCCGTCTGCAGATCGATTCCAACGCGATCGAACGTCTGTCCCTGCACCTCCGTCGTTCATGCAGGGGGCGCGTAGGTTTGCAGCGCCCCCTGCATGAAAGCGATGGAAAGTGCAGCGTTCGTCACAGATAAATGAAGTCGTGCGCTTATATATTTACATATAAATTGTACACCAAAATCGGTCCACAGTTGACTTGCACTGAATGCTGCAGTAATTATTATATTTTGTGTAAAATATTCCTTTGTTTCGCGGAGAGACTGATAAATGAAAGTCGTCTTGTCTGCTGATCTTGTTCATATCTGTGTACATCGATATCCCATATTGCTTACACTACACACCACACAGGGAAATAAATAGAAACTAGAACGACTTCCGGGGATGGGCAAAGATCGAGGAATCTCTTTCAATGGAGCGAGTTCAGTGTGTTCTATTCAACATCTGTCCGTCTGTCTCTCTGTTTGCCTCTGTGTGTCTCTCTGCCTGTGTCTCTCTGTCTATGTCGTCTCTGCGTATCTTTCTCTGTCTCTGTGTTCCTCTTGTCTGTGTCTGTCCGTCTGTCTTGTCTGTCTGTGTGTCTATCAGCGTCTGTCCCACCGGAGTCAACGACAGTCAGTAGCAGCAGGCGCCCGTTCAACTCCCACGACTACACGCGACTCAAACTTGCTCCCAACACAAAGATCCCCCGTATAGCCTTAACAGACTGTAGGGGCAAGTGCTGTTAGCGAGCACCTATTAAGGGTGGGACAGCACACGAGGGGGTGGGTGGCCAGCACCACGCCCGGCCGCCTTTGTCTCCCCAGTGCTAGCGATGTTGACACACCGCACCGGGGACTGGTTTGAGGCTGAGTCGACGTAGGGGAGGCTCAGGACCGGCTCAGAAAGTCGTCACTGGCGGTGTTGGCCACGAGCGGGAATGGAACTCGGCTGGTCGGTGCGGAGCGCAGCGCTCACCACGACACTGCCGCTCCCCTTCTGTCAACAAACTTGAACTCTGACCCCGCTCTCTGACGTCGCCGCTCAGCGTGACCTCATCAGCGTCAAACCCCACGGGGAGGTGTGCCTCGCTAGTGACGTCATGTCACCAAGGTATTCACCCCACCCAACTCACGCGCTCTTGAGCGTGACGTCACCTCCGCTCGGCCGCTGCCGATGTCTGTTCCAGTGCCAATCCTTATTTGGGCAAAGCCACGCCCGGTGACTGGCGGCTCATTAACATAATGTGTTCGCGAAAGCCGTCGCGGGTTTATTGTGACGGGTTCCGCATCCACGGCCCATCCCTCCATGTTTTGGCCGGGTTCATTAACATAATTTATTTAAGTAACAGCCGCTCATTGTGGGAGGGGAGTTTTATTGTACACCGCAAGTGACGTCATGTCACCTGCCTCGTGACGTCACGATGTAACAGGAAGTTGCCGCTCCGCGCTCGCATTGAAATCCGAGGTGAGAAATTCTCATCGCGGTTGTTGTGGTGGTTGTTGTTGTGGTGGTGGTTGTTGTGGTGGTTGTGGTTGTTTACCGAGGTAGAGCCTCGCTCTCTCTCTCGTAGGGATGTCAATTGAGTAGCAGCGAGCATGGAAGCGATCTCCACGTTGTAACTACAACGCGGGGCCTAGTGCCTCCTGCCCTCGCCTGATCGCGTTTGCTTCAATTCTCTCGCTTAAGTTTAATTTGTCTGCACACGGATCGCCACTTTGTAACTTTGTTTAAATATTCTATACTAACACAGTTTTTTTTCTTTTTTTTACCAGGCCAATTCCGCTTGAGCTGCTATACCGCTCTTGTTTTCAGAAGCGACCTGCCAACAACAAGGTGAGGCTTGTCAACAGCGTGGTAGTGTTCACTCTAGACACGTGGCGGTGTTCACTCTAGACGTGTGGTGGTATTCACTCTAGACACGTGGCGGTGTTCACTCTAGACGCGTGGCGGTGTTCACTCTAGACGCGTGGCGGTGTTCACTCTAGACGTGTGGCGGTGTTCACTCTAGACGTGTGGCGGTGTTCACTCTAGACACGTGGCGGTGTTCACTCTAGACGTGTGGTGGTGTTCACTCTAGACACGTGGTGGTGTTCACTCTAGACGCGTGGCGGTGTTCACTCTAGACACTTGGTGGTGTTCACTCTAGACACGTGGCGGTGTTCACTCTAGACGCGTGGTGGTGTTCACTCTAGACACGTGGCGGTGTTCACTCTAGACACGTAGCGGTGTTCACTCTAGACACGTAGCGGTGTTCACTCTAGACACGTAGCGGTGTTCACTCTAGACGCGTGGCGGTGTTCACTCTGGACGCGTGGCGGTGTTCACTCTAGACGCGTGGTGGTGTTCACTCTAGACACGTGGCGGTGTTCACTCTAGACACGTAGCGGTGTTCACTCTAGACACGTAGCGGTGTTCACTCTAGACACGTAGCGGTGTTCACTCTAGACGCGTGGCGGTGTTCACTCTCTGCATGTGGAGTGGGGACAACCGGGGGACACGGAGGGAAATCGACGCGACCACGGGGGGAGAGAGAGAGAGAGAGGCACGCAAACTCCAAATATACAGCAGGCGTCAGGGTTGGGATCGAACCCACGACTTCCTGTATGCCAGGAGAGGTAGTTAACATCTCACCACAGAGAAACACGCAGCCTCGGCTGTGTTGGTTGATCCTCAATGAATTCCTTGGTGGAGTGAGGAAGCATTAATACACCACCACCTGTGAACCATGCCAGTGTGTGACAGTGTAAAGGTTGTGTTTGCAGTAAAGTCTATTAACTCTATTGAACAGGGAGGTTATATCAAAGCTGTAGTTTGTTTTTTGTTTTCCTCTGGAGCTCTTTGTAAGAATGGAAACAGTCAAGAAGTTAACACAGCACACACATGCAGCTGAAGTCAGATCTGTTCATCCCAGCATTCAAGGACATCGTGAGCCTGGCTGGCTTCACACCTGTTGTATATGTTGGGCCTTGAAAAATTAATTAAAAAATAATACAAATTAATTGGAAATAGGAAAAATGTGTAATTATCTGAAATTATGCTAATTAGGGAGGTGATCTTATTAAGTTATGCAACTGTATGCAATTAAGCTAATGTATGTAGTTATGCTAATGTATGCAGTTATGATAATTATGCTTATCTTCGTTGCCTAGGGTCGTATTATCACTCGGGATAATACAATTAGTCTCGTTTTAACATTTACTGATTGTGTCTTCGTGTTTTATGTCAGGTCTCCAAATTCAAATCTCACCGCAGGATACAGTTCTCATAATTGAGATTATTACGCATGAACTTAGGAAACCACCACTCGGACTCTTTTGTGTTAAGCAATTTTAATTTCTAACCAAAAACATAACACTCTAATATTCGAACTCTTATGCTTGGAATTGTCAACACTGTACCCCTGGAGATGTTCTCATTGATCCGTACATTTAACCCTCAATGATTACGTTGTTAACTGGGTAACAGAACATTCGATTAATTCCTCAGAGTAACGCGAGCATATACGGCGATAGGAAGACGTCCTTAAACATGCATGCGACGATATTCATACGAACGGCAATAAAGAAACATTCCCTGAAAGCAAAAGTATACGTCAATTAATTCATTGGCAAGATTATGCAATCAACGAAAAGGAATGACTAAAATACTTCTGAACGACCGTATCCACGTAACTCAATGGGCAGTAAATGCTTTTTATCTTATTCGTCCCGATATGCGTGTTGTGTGCGTGTGTCTTCTTTGCCACTTGTTGACTTGGCGGATTACGCGGTACGGCGTTCCTTGTGCTGAAAATACCTCGGATTCCCAGCAGGGCCGCTGGGACGGCGTATGTGTGTGTGTAGCTGTGTGTACGTGTGTGTGTAGCTGTGTGTACGTGTGTGTGTGTGTAGCTATGTGTACGTGTGTGTGTGTGTGTAGCTGTGTGTACGTGTGTACGTGTGTGTGTGTACGTGTGTGTGCATGTGTGTGTAGCTGTGTGTGTGTGTATTAAACACACGGAACTCTTCCTCTTGGCGTTGCAGCTCTCTCCACTGCTGGTTGAGTTGGCGCGATGCTCGCCGTCGGCGGTGCGCGATGATTCCGTCGTCAGATAGCGCGCACAGCTTGTCTGCTGGTCGCCGCTCCTTACTCTTGCCTTGGTTCCCAGCTGGTACTGGTCAGTGTGTGTGTGGGTCGAACCCACGGCGCTCTCGCTGGCGCTGACACTCTTGCTCACGGGCGGCTGGTCAGGCTCTTTCCACTGCTCCGTGCTCTCTCCTTGATCGTGCAGCTGCCAGCTTCACACGGACACCCGCCCTTCAGGGCTTGCGCTGGCTCAGGCTCTTTCCACTGCTCCGTTCTCTCTCCTTTCTCTCTCCTTGCTTTCGCCCTTGGCGTGCAGCTGCCAGTTTTGTACTGGCATTGTGTTGCCTCTCTCGCCCTCACTTCGGGGCTTCGCCTTGTCGTTGCTCAACTTTCGTGCTCTCCACCCTTCTTCCAAGAGGGCTGCTGCTGTGAGCTGCTCGTCGCTGGCTGGATCACTGACTCTCAAAACTTGTAAATTGTATTAGCACACCTCTTACACAACTCTGATAGCTTGGTACAATACAACTTATCGCAAACCCTCGATTCCACAAGCGACTCAAAACATCAGGATGAATGTAGAATAAACTTTCAGCGATACTCTGTCAGTTCATGCCGAACTCGGCTCTTAACAACACATCGTCCCTTCGCTCCACGAGACACGACACCCATGGTTGATCTCGAGACCATGCCCCGGAGTTTGCCCCTTTGCACGACTGAATTGCATGATCTGTGTCGTTGGTTATATCTGAAATTCCCTCCCCTCTCTGTGCGTCTCTTGCGAGAGAAAAAAAACAGATGCCCTCTGTCACCGTCCTCTCTCCGCGGCCGCGCCTGAATGCCCTCCACCCCTCTTCCCTTGATGACCCCGGACGGGCTGTTTTCCGTCTAAGTTTATGCTTGTTGGCATCCCCCCCACCCCCCCTTCGTTGTGTTTGTTAGCTCGAGGCCAGACACCCTTCATACGTAATTGTGGCTGCCATGTGTTTGTGTCAAATTGTTGGAAGACAAAGGTGGCCGGGGAGGCTTTGATTCCATGGAATACATATTATCTGGTTTTGTGTGTGTTGGACCTATTTCTTGTACCTCTTATGAGTTACCCCGGGTCTAATATCTCGTGGTTATTATTTGGTTCATGTTTAACCAAGATTCGTAATGCCCCTCGTTGTTACCATTATTCCGAGGGTTTTGCCAAGCTTTGTAAGTCTGTGTCACTAGGGATCGGTGTTTTATTTTGAGTTATATTTTGATATCCCGAGGCTGGAGATATAACCAAGCCCTCACTTGCTTATCTACCAGAATGCACATTCCTTGGTTCTCTTGGTGAAGTTACATGGATAGAAAGATACAATACAAAATATATACGAGTTGAATAACGGTGAAATAAAATAAATAATAATAAAGCCGCTCGTATAGACTGCAGTCTATAACGTCGATTTGTTCTTTTTGACGAGTTTCAAACTTTTACCGTTAAAGAAAATTCGAGTTGTAACGTCCGTTTGTCTCTGCTATGTGCTCTGGAGATTTGTTTGTGAACTGTCCAAAACGTCCGGGGAGGTCATGTCATGTGGTCATCTGCCAGCCTGGAGATTTCCAGATAGTCGCTAACCCCTCTTTGCCCCGAAGTTTGTTGTTTAATGTTTTTTTTGACCTCCAGATGCTTGGTGTGGCTAGAGGGGTAGCAGAGTTGAGTGTTGGTTTCATTTATTTATTATTTAGGGATAAAAAAATGGGTCGAATTATTCTTAATATAAATTTTTGGAAAAGGTCTATATATACAACACACCTCTAAGTTGCGATTGAACATGAATTTATGCATTTCTGCATAACACAAATAGTATTATTTTCAACACCTTTTGCTATGTCAACTGAATTTAGCTTTCATAAATATTCCTTTTGTAGCCAGACAGCCGAAATTTGTGACCATTTGCCCTCTCATTGTGTGCCATAACAGCCCATGTGATGAATTTGGGACACGTTTTTTACTATATCATAAATATATGAATAAGTATAGACATGTAAGTCACGTGTGACTGTGTATATGCATTCCGCTGTGCCTCGATACTGACGTGTAGATGGTGTGGATATTCTTTTTTTCTGTCTGCAGCTGTTGCTTCCTCTGCAGAATTGGTCTTATGGAGCAAAGGCACTCGGCGCAGCTCGGTGCAAAAAGGCATCAATGCGACCGGTGTGCATACAGCACGGATCGTCCTGGACATTTGACACAGCACCAGAGAACACACACAGGAGAGAAACCCTTCAGGTGCAGTGTGTGTGGGAAGGCGTTTGCACGTTCATCTCCTCTTGTAGCACACCAGAGAACACACACAGGAGAAAAACCCTTCAAGTGCAGTGTGTGTGGGAAGGCGTTTGCACGTTCATCGACTCTTAAAAAACACCAGAGAACACACACGGGAGAGAAACCCTTCAAGTGCAGTGTGTGTGGGAAGGCGTTTGCACATTCATCGACTCTTAGAAAACACCAGGGAACACACACGGGAGAGAAACCCTTCAAGTGCAGTGTGTGTGGGAAGGCGTTTGCACATTCATCAACTCTTAAAAAACACCAGAGAACACACACGGGAGAGAAACCCTTCAAGTGCAGTGTGTGTGGGAAGGCGTTTTCACAGTCACCTGCTCTTGTAGAACACCAGAGAACACACACGGGAGAGAAACCCTTCAAGTGCAGTGTGTGTGGGAAGGCATTTTCAGTTTCATCAAATCTTCATGTACACCAGAGAACACACACGGGAGAGAAAGCCTTCAAGTGCAGTGTGTGTGGGAAGGCGTTTCCACATTCATCTGATCTTGTAACACACCAGAGAACACACACAGGAGAGAAACCCTTCAAGTGCAGTGTGTGTGGGAAGGCATTTTCAGTTTCATCAAATCTTCATGTACACCAGAGAACACACACGGGAGAGAAAGCCTTCAAGTGCAGTGTGTGTGGGAAGGCGTTTGCACGTTCATCTACTCTTAAAATACACCAGAGATCACACACGGGAGAGAAACCCTTCAAGTGCAGTGTGTGTGGGAAGGCTTTTGCACAGTCATCTACTCTTGTAGAACACCAGAGAACACACACAGGAGAGAAACCCTTTAAGTGCAGTGTGTGTGGGAAGGTGTTTGCACAGTCACCACATCTTCAAGTACACCAGAGAACACACACGGGAGAGAAAGCCTTCAAGTGCAGTGTGTGTGGGAAGGCGTTTGTACATTCATCTACTCTTGTAGAACACCAGAGAACACACACGGGAGACAAACCCTTCAAGTGCAGTGTGTGTAGGAAGGCGTTTGCACGTTCATCTGCTCTTGTAGAACACCAGAGAACACACACAGGAGAGAAACCCTTCAAGTGCAGTGTGTGTGGGAAGGCGTTTGCACTTTCATCAAATCTTCATGCACACCAGAGAACACACATGGGAGAAAAACCCTTCAAGTGCAGTGTGTGTGGGAAGGCGTTTACACAGTCATCTGCTCTTGAAAGACACCAGAGAACACAGAAGCATCAAAAGATCCACAAGGAGTGGAGTCTGAAATCAGCTTGTGAAAGTCAAAGTGCTGCAATGAGCCCATCCCTCATCAAACAAGAACCGGAAGTGTATCCCAGCTTGGACACTTTTAAAGGTATCGAGGTGAAACATGAAGAGGTGAAATGTGAAGAAGTGATGGTGAAGAGCGAAGAAGTGAAGGTAAAATGTGAAGATGAAGATTCAACTCCAAAATCGGACCTTCACATCGATGGAGGCAACGTGAAGCAGGAGGAGAATTCTGACTGTGAGGCAGAGCGAGGCAACTCCCAGCAGTTTGTGGAAGTGGAGGTGTGGGTGGACTTCGTCCGAGACAATACAAAGTCAAATGAAGACCCGGTAGATGTGTAAGCCAGAGACGATGTCGCTCCAATAGATGCCCCTTTGTCAGGCCTTTAATGACAAGAATTTGACGTTGAACACTCGGTTCCTAGGTTCAACCTGCAGGGTAAGAGCGGCCAGTCTTTGTGGACCTGTGGGTTGCGTTGATCTCTAACCATGAGTGGGAGCCAATAAGCTCCCAAGCATTCACTATGTTATCAATTGCATTTATATGGTGCTTGCTTCATCGCCTCGGCAATTCGGATTTTTGTATCGTATCTCGTCTCAAACACTCGAAGAGCATCCCCAAGTAGCAGCTGCTCCTGTGTGGCACAAGGTGGTGGCTCTGCACCGGCCTGCATGTGGACAAGAGCCTGTCAGTAGGGGGCGATGGTTGATGTGGCATCTCAGTTGTGGAGTTTGTTGGTAATGCAAAGTCCTACTCGTTTTGAATGGCGCAAAAGTATGTTGTACATACACTGTTAAGCAGACGGTGGTCATTTTAAAATAGCTTGTTAATACGATGTAACCTGATGCAGTATTTTTCAGTGCAGTAATTAAATTTTGTTAAAATGACCGTCAATAATTTAGAATGAATACTTGTCTGATTGCGTACGTACATGTAACATTTGTCTATAAGGTTCAAACACTGAACAAGTGATGTTAGGACAAAGTGTGTGTTTTGGAAGTAACCTGTACAGATTACTCAGGTGAGACTCGTTGTTCTTGTGATACAGGTCAAAGGGTACTTTTGTGTTTTCAGGATGCGTCTTGAAATAGGTAGCACACTCGGATCATTTATCAATTACAAGGCATACCACTTAAAAGTTACACTTATAGGAGTTACATTCTCTACAACATGAATTATAATTTTGTATGGCGTGTTGACGTAGATTTTGTCTAACTAGGACTAGAAATGCTCCTTGCTGTTACTGTCTAGATGTTCGTAACCATCGGTTGAAGCAAGCCCGGCTGCTGTTGAGACGCTGTGCACCAATAAGGGTCCACAGGTGGCTTGCACTGAATCAATGACGCACTCCCAGAAGTCTGTGCTAGTTATAGTTTGTGTAAAACATTCCTTTGTTTCGTGGAGAGATCGATAAATGAAAGATGTTGTGTTTGCTGATCTGCTTCATAGCAAGGAGGTAATTTTAAGAGCACATTTGAAATGCATTTTTGGTACAGATTTGTATTCGGTTACAAGGCAGAGCACATCTAGTAGATACATTCTTCACAACAACACTCATTCGAATTTTGCATGACGTCTTATATGTTGGTGAACTAGGACAAGAAATGGTCCTTGCCGATTAACGTCTGGATGTTGACAACCATGGGTTGAAGCAAGCCTGACCGCCTGCGACGCCCCTCACAACCATTTACGGCCTTGGGCCAGGAAAGTCACGAAAATATTGCACACGAACGACGCATCCACGCAAGCACCCGATGCTCCATTTTGAAGTTTGAAAATGAAACAACTTTGAATTGTATTATGTTTTGAATTAGATAATTATATTTCTTCATTAAAAGCTTGTTATTTTACATCTGGAAGACTTAATTGAAAACATTTAGTGTGAATTTTCTCTCGTCGTGAAGTAGATTGCCTAGCCTGGGATTCTGTTCGATGCTGACTTTCACCTGGTTGGGAGAAGACCGCTGTCTGCAGATCGATTCCAACGCGATCGAACGTCTGTCCCTGCGCCTCCGTCGTTCATGCAGGGGGCGCGTAGGTTTGCAGCGCCCCCTGCATGAAAGCGATGGAAAGTGCAGCGTTCGTCACAGATAAATGAAGTCGTGCGCTTATATATATATGTATAAATTGTACACCAAAACCGGTCCACAGTTGACTTGCACTGAATGCTGCCGTAATTATATTTTGTGTAAAACATTCCTTTGTTTCGCGGAGAGACTGATAAATGAAAGACGTCTTGTCTGCTGATCTTGTTCATATCCGTGTACATCGATATCCCACATTGCTTACACTACACACCACACACACGGAAATAAATAGAAACTACAACGACTTCCGGGGATGGGCAAAGATCGAGGAAACTCTTTCAATGGATCGAGTTCAATGTGTTCGATTCAACATATCTGTCCGTCTGTCTCTCTGTTTGCCTCTGTGTGTCTCTCTGCCTGTGTCTCTCTGTCTATGTCGTCTCTGCGTATCTTTCTCTGTCTCTGTGTTCCTCTTGTCTGTGTCTGTCCGCCTGTCTTGTCTGTGTGTGTGTGTGTCTATCAGCGTCTTTCCCACCGGAGTCAACGACAGTCAGTAGCAGCAGGCGCCCGTTCAACTCCCACGACTACACGCGACTCAAACTTGCTCCCAACACAAAGACAAAGATCCCCCGTGTAGCCTTAACAGACTGTAGGGGCAAGTGCTGTTAGCGAGCACCTATTCAGGGTGGGACAGCACACGAGGGGGTGGGTGGCCAGCACCACGCCCGGCCGCCTTTGTCTCCCTAGTGGCGATGTTTACACACCACACCGGGTACTTTTTTGAGGCTGAGTCGACGTAGGGGAGGCTCAGGACCGGTTCAGAAAGTCGTCACTGGCGGTGTTGGCCACGAGCGGGAATGGAACTCGGCTGGTCGGTGCGGAGCGCAGCGCTCACCACGACACTGCCGCTCCCCTTCTGTCAACAAACTTGAACTCTGACCCCGCTAACTGACGTCGCCGCTCAGCGTGACCTCATCAGCGTCAAACCCCACGGGGAGGTGTGCCTCGCTAGTGACGTCATGTCACCAAGGTATTCACCCCACCCAACTCACGCGCTCTTGAGCGTGACGTCACCTCCGCTCGGCCGCTGCCGATGTCTGTTCCAGTGCCAATCCTTATTTGGGCAAAGCCACGCCCGGTGACTGGCGGCTCATTAACATAATGTGTTCGCGAAAGCCGTCGCGGGTTTATTGTGACGGGTTCCGCATCCACGGCCCATCCCTCCATGTTTTGGCCGGGTTCATTAACATTATTTAAGTAACAGCCGCTCATTGTGGGAGGGGAGTTTTATTGTACACCGCAAGTGACGTCATGTCACCTCCTGCCTCGTGACGTCACGATGTAACAGGAAGTTGCCGCTCCGCGCTCGCATTGAAATCCGAGGTGAGAAATTCTCATCGCGGTTGTTGTGGTGGTTGTTGTGGTGGTTGTGGTTGTGTACCGAGGTAGAGCCTCGCTCTCTCTCTCGTAGGGATGTCAATTGAGTAGCAGCGAGCATGGAAGCGATGTCCACGTTGTAACTTCAATTCTCTCGCTTAAGTTTAATTTGTCTTGACCCGGATCGCCACTTTGTAACTTTGTTTAAATATTCTATACTAACACAGTTTTTTTTCATTTTTTTACCAGGCCAAGCCCGCTTGAGCTGCTATACCGCTCTTGTTTTCAGAAGCGACCTTCCCACAACAACAACAACAACAAGGTGAGGCTTGTCAACAGCGTGGTGGTGTTCACTCTATACGCGTGGTGGTGTTCACTCTAGACACGTGGCGGTGTTCACTCTAGACGTGTGGTGGTGTTTACTCTAGACGCGTGGTGGTGTTCACTCTAGACGCGTGGCGGTGTTCACTCTAGACGCGTGGCGGTGTTCACTCTAGACGCGTGGCGGTGTTCACTCTAGACGCGTGGCGGTGTTCACTCTAGACGTGTGGCGGTGTTCACTCTAGACACGTGGTGGTGTTCACTCTAGACGCGTGGTGGTGTTCACTCTAGACGCGTGGTGGTGTTCACTCGAGACACGTGGCGGTGTTCACTCTAGACACGTGGTGGTGTTCACTCTAGACACGTGGTGGTGTTCACTCTAGACACGTGGCGGTGTTCACTCTAGACGCGTGGCGGTGTTCACTCTAGACGCGTGGTGGTGTTCACTCGAGACACGTGGTGGTGTTCACTCGAGACACGTGGCGGTGTTCACTCTAGACACGTGGCAGGGTTCACTCTAGACACGTGGTGGTGTTCACTCTAGACACGTGGCGGTGTTCACTCTAGACGCGTGGCGGTGTTCACTCTAGACGTGTGGCGGTGTTCACTCTAGACACGTGGCGGTGTTCACTCTAGACGTGTGGCGGTGTTCACTCTAGACGTGTGGTGGTGTTCACTCTAGACACGTGATGGTGTTCACTAGACGCGTGGCGGTGTTCACTCTAGATGCGTGGCGGTGTTCACTCTAGACACGTGGTGGTGTTCACTCTAGACACGTGGCGGTGTTCACTCTAGACGTGTGGTGGTGTTCACTCTAGACGCGTGGCGGTGTTCACTCTAGACGCGTGGCGGTGTTCACTCTAGACGCGTGGCGGTGTTCACTCTAGACGTGTGGCGGTGTTCACTCTAGACACGTGGTGGTGTTCACTCTAGACGCGTGGTGGTGTTCACTCTAGACGCGTGGTGGTGTTCACTCGAGACACGTGGCGGTGTTCACTCTAGACACGTGGTGGTGTTCACTCTAGACACGTGGTGGTGTTCACTCTAGACACGTGGCGGTGTTCACTCTAGACGCGTGGCGGTGTTCACTCTAGACGCGTGGTGGTGTTCACTCGAGACACGTGGCGGTGTTCACTCTAGACACGTGGCGGTGTTCACTCTAGACACGTGGTGGTGTTCACTCTAGACACGTGGCGGTGTTCACTCTAGACGCGTGGCGGTGTTCACTCTAGACGTGTGGCGGTGTTCACTCTAGACACGTGGCGGTGTTCACTCTAGACGTGTGGCGGTGTTCACTCTAGACGTGTGGTGGTGTTCACTCTAGACGCGTGGTGGTGTTCACTCTAGACGCGTGGCGGTGTTCACTCTAGACGCGTGGCGGTGTTCACTCTAGACACGTGGTGGTGTTCACTCTAGACACGTGGCGGTGTTCACTCTAGACGTGTGGTGGTGTTCACTCTAGACGCGTGGTGGTGTTCACTCTAGACGCGTGGCGGTGTTCACTCTAGACGTGTGGCGGTGTTCACTCTAGACACGTGGCGGTGTTCACTCTAGACACGTGGCGGTGTTCACTCTAGACGTGTGGTGGTGTTCACTCTCTGCATGTGGAGTGGGGACAATCGGGGGACACGGAGGGAAATCGACGCGACCACGGGGGGAGAGAGAGAGAGAGAGGCACGCAAACTCCAAATATACAGCAGGCGTCAGGGTCGGGATCGAACCCACGACTTCCTGTATGCCAGGAGAGGTAGTTAACATCTCACCACGGAGAGAGAGAGACACGCAGCCTCGGCTGTGTCGATTGATCCTCAATGAATTACTTGGTGGAGTGAGGAAGCATTAATACTGAGCAGGTAAAGGTGGCCAGGAGTGGGTCTGGACACACCACCACCTGTGAACCGTGCCAGTGTGTGACAGTGGTGGAGCCAGTGGGAGTGGGGTGGCACGTGCCCCCCCAACGGTCCAATCGAAATCCCTAATTTCGATCGGATCATTGGGGTTTATTAGTAACTCGCTTCACTACCCGGCTTTGCCCGGGACTTGGATTCTTGTCTTGGATACATTTCAAATTTCATATTCCCTTATCTTTCACTGAACAAATTGATGCAAGAAAGATAAACGCCGAAACATATAAATTTACCAGAATCGAATGTTTTCACTCAAGGATATCCAACCTTAACCCACTTCTACGTAAGGTCGATTTTGACAACTCAGGAATGTAATGACGTGGCGAACTGAAAATAGTCGCGTTTAATTAGAAATTCCAGACCGCATAAGCTGTTAAAATTTCATGACGCCAGATCTCAGCGTTGGAGAGTTTTTGCTGCTTCACACAAACAAACAAATGTCATTTCTGCTTCATATGTAAGATAGCAGTTGTACCCGTTCTTCGCACGGATTTGTATTGAAACTCCGAGAAGCCAATGGCTTCATCGGCCTGGAAGGAAGCGCCACCTACAATCTCCCGACACGCTGCGAACAGCTGTAGAAGTACGGCGCGCGAAGAGCCATATGGTAGGGGTAAGCATTGCAGAGTGCTTAACTCAGGTGTGATGCGGGTTGACGCCACATACTTAATGGTAATTTTTCTCACCTCCTCCCCCCCCCCCCCCCCCCTAAAATACAAAAGTGTATTTTTTATACTTTTTACATTGTGTACAGTATGGAACCTACCCACATGCCAAATTTCAAGTGTGTGGCATGTTGGGAAGTATGCTAAACATTTCAAACAGACACGTATCCACACATTTCTCTATAAGATAAATCGGCAGTTTGCGACCCCCACTGCCACCATGTGGCATATTATTACGTGCCAGGGACTCTATGAGAGGACAACAGTCCGAGTCTATAATTGGCAATAAGTAACAGCAAAGCAGTTACAAGCGACTCAGAATTGTGCGCAGTTGCGTATACAGTACACGACTTCCTTAAACCAAACGCCTTGAGCGAGCGCGATGCCGATCACACGCGTCGAATAAAAAACAAGGGACAAGTCCTTACTTACTAACAAGTCCTTACTAACAACTCCTTACTTAATAACAACTCCTATCATGTTTCATTGCTGGAGGGGTTGCCCCCCCTACCTGAAAATCCTGGCTCCACCTCTGATTGGGTGACAGTGTCAAGTTTGTATTTGCAGTCAAGTCTATTAACTCTATTGAACACGGAGGTTTTATCAAAACGGTAGTTTTTTGGTTTTCCGCTGGAAATCTTGTAAGAATGGTGTCAGAAAGTTATCACAGCACACGTGCAGTTGAAGTCGGAACTGTTCATCCCAACATTCAAGGACATCTGAGCCTGGCTTCACTCCTCTAAGTTGCGATTGAACATTAATTTATGCATTTCTGCATAACACAAATAGTATTATTTTCAACACCCTTTGCTATTTCAGCTGAATTTAGCTTTCATAAATATTCCTTTTGAAGCCAAACAGCCGAAATTGTGTGCTCGGAGTTTTGGGTTAACATTCATTTTGAAGATACGAGGGCTTCCAGGCATGTTTGTGACCATTTGCCCTCTCATTGTGTGCCATAACAGCCTGTGTAATGAATTTGGGACACTTTTTGACTATATCATGAATATATGATATGTACAGTAGTGTAAGTCATGTTGACTGTATATGCATTCCTCTGTGCATCGATACTGACATGTTGATGGTGTGGATATTTCTTTTTTGTCTGCAGCTGTCGCTTCTTCTGCAGAATTGGTCTGATGGAGCAAAGGCACTCGGCTCAGCTCTGTACAACAAGGCAACAATGCGACCGGTGTTCATACAGCACGGATCATCATGGACATTTGACACAACACCAGAGAACTCACACGGGAGATAAACCCTTCAAGTGCAGTGTGTGTGGGAAGGCGTTTGCACAGTCATATGCTCTTGTAATACACCAGAGAACCCACACGGGAGAGAAACCCTTCAAGTGCGGTGTGTGTGGGAAGGCGTTTGCACTTTCATCTACTCTTGTAGAACACCAGAGAACACACACGGGAGAGAAACCCTTCAAGTGCAGTGTATGTGGGAAGGCGTTTGCACATTCATCTACTCTTGTAAAACACCAGAGAATCCACACGGGAGAGAAACCCTTCAAGTGCAGTGTGTGTGGGAAGGCGTTTGCACAGTCATATGCTCTTGTAGAGCACCAGAGAACACACATGGGAGAGAAACCCTTCAAGTGTAGTGTGTGTGGGAAGGCGTTTGCACAGTCATCTGCTCTTGTAAAACATCAGAGAACACACACGAGCGAGAAACCCTTCAAGTGCAGTGTATGTGGGAAGGCGTTTGCACAGTCATCTGCTCTTGTAATACACCAGAGAACCCACACGGGAGATAAACGCTTCAAGTGCGGTGTGTGTGGGAAGGCGTTTGCACTTTCAACTAATCTTGTAGAACACCAGAGAATACACACGGGAGAGAAACCCTTCAAGTGCAGAGTGTGTGGGAAGGCGTTTGCACAGTCATCTACTCGTGAAGCACACCAGAGAACACACACAGGAGAGAAACCCTTCAAGTGCAGTGTGTGTGGGAAGGCGTTTGCACATTCATCTACTCTTGTAATACACCAGAGAACCCACACGGGAGATAAACCCTTCAAGTGCAGTGTTTGTGAGAGGGCGTTTACACAGTCACATCATGTTGTAGCACACCAGAGAACACACATGGGAGAGAAATCCTTCAATTGCAGTGTGTGTGGGAAGGAGTTTGCACTTTCATCAAATCTTCATGTACACCAGAGAGCACACAAGCATCACAATATCCACCAGGGGTGGAGTCTGAAATCAGCTTGTGAAAGTCAAAGTGCCGCAATGAGCCCATCCCTCATCAAACAAGAACCGGAAGAAAATCCCAGCTTGGACACTTTCAAAGGTATCAAGGTGAAATATGAAGAGGTGAAGGTGAAATGTGAAGAAGTGATGGTGAAGAGCGAAGAAGTGAAGGTAAAATGTGAAGATGAAGATTCAACTCCAAAATCTGATCTTCACGTCGATGGAGGCAACGTGAAGCAGGAGGAGAATTCTGACTGTGAGGCAGAGCCAGGCAACTCCCAGCAGTTTGTGGAAGTGGAGGTGTGGGTGGACTTCCTCCGAGACAATACAAAGTCAAATGGAGACCCGGGAGATGTGTAAGGCAGTGACGATGCTGCTCCAATAGATGCCCCTTTGTCACAGGTCTTTAATGACAAGAATGTGAAGTTAAACACTCGGTTCCTAGTAGGGGTCGGCACGGTTTGGCTCAAACCACCAAACCGCGGTTTGAACCGAACCAAATCGGTTTGGTTTGGCTCTTTGAACTGGTTCGGTTTGGTTTGGGGCTACGAAAACCGACTCGGTTTGGCTCGGACATGGTGGAACCGGCTCAAACTAGTTTGGTTGGTTGTAAAGGCCGAGTACAGCAATATCAAGGACATGATGACGGACATTCTCAACCAGCGCTACCCAGCGTTGACGACGGACGCGGCGCCGAAGGCGGCGCCGCGTGGCGGCATTAACATCCTCTTTGACATGGTCTACGCGCCCAACGCTCACGACGGCGCCGCCTCCGAGGTCGACTGCTTCCTGCTTGAGCCGACTCAGGACCTGAGCATGGACGTCGTCGAGTGGTGGAAGCTGTACGGCGGCAAGTACCCGCGCCTACGACGCGTGGCCCTCGACTATTTGCCTATCCCGGCGTCGTCCGTGCCCTCCGAGAGAGCAAACTCGGCCGCCAAGCGCTCCTTTCTCGACCGACCAAACCTGCACAAGTGCACGTTCAAGGCCGAGATGTGTGTGCGCTGGTGGGCGCGGATGTTGCCTAGTGTTGGGGTTTCACTGCCATTGAACTACCACACTGCGTTCAAGGACATTGGGCGTGCCAAGCTTGAGGAGATGGCTGTGGACGACATCGTCGTCCAGTACTTGCTAGTGAATCTCAATATGAAGAAAGCCTGCGTAGAAATTAGCGATTAATACACTTGATATTTGTATTGAATGCGAATATTGTTTGCCGCGCATCTTTTCGGTTCAAGCCAACTCAAGAGGTTTGGTTTAGCTTAGTTTGGTTTGGTTTTGGTTTGGTTTGGTTCAGTCGTCGCTAGTTTGGTTTGGTTTGGTTTGCTCAATTTGAAACCAGTTTGAGTCGGTTCAAACCGTGCCGACCCCTAGTTCCTAGGTTCAACCTGCAGGGTAAGCGGCCAGTTTTTGTGGACCTGTGTGTTGGGTAGATCTCTAACCAGGAGCGAGAGCCAATAAGCTCTCAAACATTCACTATGTTATCATAATTGCATTTATATGGTGCTTGCTTAATCGCCTCTGGCAACTCTGAGTTTTGTATCGTATCTAATCAAACACTCCAAGAGCATCCCCAAGTAGCTCCCCCTGTGTGGCACAAGGTGGTGGCCCTGCACCGGCCTGCACGTGGACAAGAGCCTGTCAGTAGGGGGCGATGGTTGATGTGGCATCTCAGTTGTGTCGTTTGTAATGTTTGGAATTTGCTCAATTTTGACCCAGACACCAGCATGCAATGGCCTAATCGTTTTAAATGGCGCAATAGTATGTTGTACATACACTGTTAAGCAGACGGTGTGTATTTTTTTAAATAGCTTCTTAATGCGATGTAACCTGATGCAGTATATTTCAGTGCAGTCATTCAATTTTGTTAATATGCCTGTCACTAATTTAGAATGAATACTTGTCTGATTGTGTGCGTACATGTACCATTTTGTCTATAAGAGTCAAACATTGAATAAGTCATGTTAGGACAACGTGTGTGTTTTGGAAGTAACCTGTACAGATTACTCAGGTGAGACTCATTGTTCTTGTGATACAGGTCAAAGGGTATTTTTGTGTTTTTAGGAAGCATCTCCCTCTGGAGTAACTCTTTGTCTTTGAAATAGGGAGCACACTCGGATCATTCATCAGTTACAAGGCATGCCACTCAAAAGTTAAACGTAGAGGAGATACATTCTCTACAACACGAATTATAATTTTGTATGGCGTGTTGACACAAATTTCATCTAACTAGGGATAGAAATGCTCCTTGCTGATTAACATCTGGATGTTTAAGCTATCGGTTAAAGCAAGCCTGGCTGCTGTTGAGGCGCTGTGCACCAATAAGAGTTCACAGGTGGCTTGCACTGAATCAATGATGCACTCCCAGAAGGCTGTGCTAGTTATAGTTTGTGTAAACATTCCTTTGTTTCGTGGAGAGACCGATAAATGAAAGAGGTGTCCGCTGATCTTTTTGTATCTGTGTCCATCGATATCTCACATTGCTTACCACATGTTTATTTAAATATGCAAAGCGTCCTCGGGAGACGTCCCCTCAAAGTCACGGGTGGGTGATGTCGGCGCCTCCCTGTCTCTGGTTTGTGACCTCGCCTCGTCCACGGGACGTGACGACTGTGCACTGTCTTGGAATTCATTCGCAGTCATTAAATCTTGACACATACCAAAGAACACAAGAGAAGCCCATCAGGTGTACTGCGTGTGGTAAGGCGTTTACAGGGTCATCAAATGTTCACAACCTCCGGAGAATACATGTACTAAAACCCTTAAAGTAAACTGTGTTCCGTCATGCCTTTGACGTGTTTTTTTTACTGAAAAACGCGTAAAGAAATCTACAAGGAGCCCAGTTTGAAATTGACGTGCGAGTCAAAAGTGCAACAATGAGTCGATCTCGTAACAACAACCAGAATACAATTCCAGCTTTGATACATGGCCAGGAGTGGAAGTGTCAAGCGAAGAAGTTGCGCTTAAAAGTGAAGAAGAAGATTCTGCTCCAGGACGCGACCTCCATGTGGATGCAGGCAGCGTGAAGCAGGAGCAGCATTCGGACAGAAGGAGAGTGAGACGACCCGCAGGAGTTTGTGGATATGGAGGTGTGAGTGGAGTTTTTGGACACAGCAGAGTAGAAGGGGCTTGCACGTGTGAAGTGGAGTCTGGGAAGGTCTGCAACCAGAAGCGTGACAATCTCCAAAGCATTAAACTCATTCACAGACTTCCCTCACGACAAGAATGGATGCAGCTGTAGGCGTCATCCAGTCGAGCTATGAGCTTTCAATAAATATGCAATCGCAGTGTAGTAAAATATTTTCGAATTGCAAAGAGTGCCTTTCATAATCGCTCATTAATGTTGGTCAGGTTACTAGTGCCTGTATGGTGGGTTCATTCGTGCGATTTGTTACGCAACTTGTGAGGTGACAGGTTATTAACGTTGACCGTTTAATTGTAGGCCAGTCGCCAACAATAACAGCTGCAATTTACCACTAAATGATGGTGATATCACCATGGCGCTTGTGCCAGACCTGGTGCATTTCGAGGCCCAGTGAAGTGTCGAAAGATCACAGAGAGGAGGTCATGGGACAGACCCAGGTGTCACGGGATCACAGGATATCTGACCGATGACTCGGATGCCCCCATTTCCACACGATAGCACAACTTTGAAGAGCAGGCCACACAAACACAGTATCTTACAAGTAGTAATAACCAAAAATATACATCCACTGAAACCTATGTCCGAGTGCGTTTCTGAACTCGTACACGTTTTGATCAGGCGACCTTAACCACCGTTATCCATTCGGGCTGTTTATCTCCATCCTGATATGGGAACATTCCCACTTAACAAAAGGTGTGCGACTCGCAAAGGGGTTCGCACTTTTACCCCTTGGGTCATCCAAACATTCTTTTAAAGCAGACACTCCCTTCCACGACAATTGCGACTGGGTGCTCCCACTGACTGTACGTGTCACCTCTGCACGATAGTACATGGCACTCGCCATCACTCCACAATTTGGGTTCGAGATTACTCGCTAATATTGATGTAAGCCACCTCGCCACACTTTAGTTATTCAATCACGGACCACTTCGGAGCCACAGCTGGGGGGAGAGAGAGGTGGGGGGGGCGACGGAGTTACCCTCGTGCTGTTATTGTCTGCGCAGTGCGCAATCTACCAGTGTTAAAACTGTACTTATGTATCTACCAGTTGTTACTTATTTATTGGACATTTGTTACTTATTTCCTGTTTTAAGTTCACTCGTTTCCGGTTAGTTTGCTTTATTTGTGCACGTTATGATTTTAATGTTAACAATTGATAGTGGAATGTATTACAAATGTAAACTTCGTATTAATGATGGAAATAAGCTGCGGTAACGATGTTAAATATATTAATGCATGAGGCGTATATGCAGGTGCGGGCTGAATTTTTTTTGACACAAAACGCTATTTTTGCGGGGTATATGAGTCTGTGGGTTATATGCGTATGCGGGAAAATACGGTACTTGGGAAGTTTATACAGGTAGGAACAATATGTTCCACACTGCCCACCAGGGATTTTTTGTCTGTCTGTCTCATGCATATTTGTCTGTCGTGCACGAATGCGCTGTCCAACCAAGTTCCTACCTGCCACTCCGAAGGAACGTGTTTTGATTTTGGCGGGTTTTAACGACACATTTATATATTTATGCGATCTAACTCAAAAAAACAACTCTTATGGATGTTATTGGTCGCGAAAGCCTGCTACGTGTTAAACGGATTAAATGTCCTGCACCCCAACCAGACGACCAGGCCTGGCTTTTCGCCGTAGTCCGCTCCTTTCTTTACTGCGAGATGGATATTGGCCAGAGATGGTCGTGGTTAGTTTCGTTATGATGTGGTATTTCCCCGCATCTCAAATGTGTGGGAGGGGTTTCTTTATGCAATTTCGGCTGGGTTTTGGCAAATGCCATTGGTTAATTTGCTCGTAAAAATAAGCCCTGCACCTGTTCTGAATGCAACAATGCACGCACTTCTCCACATTCTGAATCAATCTCGGTGCACGTGGTTCGTGTGATAATTACGTAACTGAAAGCGCATGCTGCACCGCTGATCCAATGGTCGCATGCATGGAACTCATCAATTCCTTCATCACTTGACAAACCCAGAAGCTGCTCTTCCTGTGCCAGTTCACCATCCCCCTCATTCGGACACGTGGCCGTGTGCCACGCTTTGATCCGAGGTGAAATGTTTTCATTATCGTCGTCGTTACGTTGCTTTACCCGGGAAAGCCTCGCCTCTCCTTTTCTTTGTGTGAATATCTATTGAATAGGAACTGTCAATCGATGCAATATTAAAATATCCCAATGTGGGGGCCCAGCCGTGCATTTTGTCTGGATTATCGCTTTACCTTATTGGAGAGAGCCTGC